TTTTCTTTTCTTTTTGTGAATCTTCACTCCACATTTGCCCCAGCCGCGACAGGCTGGATATCTTACGTGCATTATGTGAAAGCATATCACAACCCCGCATTCCCTTGTTTGATATACCAAATTGTCTAGTTTTTAATCTCTCTCTGGTTTTCAAACAGCAACTCAAATTCTGAGATGCAATAAACATGAATAATTGTTTATCTTCTTCTATGCCACTGATGTCATTGTACACAGAGACAATATATAGGCTCACATGCATCTTGTGTAATGAGATTAATGCAGCTTGCACAGCCTTTTTGAAGTGTTCTTCACCGTTCAATACAAGTCTAGGAACTGGTGATAAGGTAGGGAGATGGTTGTCCAACTTTGGATTCTGGAGACTGGGACGTACATTGATATGCTAGATTAGTACTTACTTGGTCAAACACTATCATAGCATTCAAGGGACCAAAGCTTGATCTGGTTCTGTTGGGCCATTATTGATGAATGATAAATTAGCAGGTTTTTATTGTTGCATGTGAGTCTGACTTTGCAAACTTGGACCACCGCATAATCTAGGCCTTGAATTTAAAACGCATCAGCCTATTTTCTGCCCATATTCTCTTAGCTGAAAAAAAAAAAGCATCCTAAGACTAAATTCCATTCCAGCAAACATAATTAATTTGACAAAACCTCAGGCTACTGAAAGAGGTATATATACCTTCTCTTAGGTATAACAAATTAGAAAACAGATCATCCCAGCTGTTTTGGTGAATAGAATTCATTTTAATAAAGCTTCATAAATCCTAGAAATGAAAAAGTATTTAGAGGGAAAGATGCAGATAGAGATAGAATTGTGGAGCTCGTTCAACTAAGGGCATTCAACTAGATAAAATGCAAAGGAGGAGGAGGTTTTTTCTCATTGGCGGACTGGTTCCACAACCCGGCTGATTGCTTGGAGATGAGCTATGGCAACAGAAAGAGCATGAACAGTAAAAATGGAGAAATTGCAAAAGAGGACAGAAACCCGTCATGGGTGTGGTGTCGACACCATACGGTAAGCATCCACAATTCATTGGGTTTGATCAGAACAGTGAGAAATGGAGAAATTGCAAAAGAGGACAAAAACCTGACACGGGTGTGATGTCGACACATAATTTTGGTGTCGACACCATACTGTAGGCGTCAGGATTCCAACACGGACATGGTGTTGACACACAATATTTGTATCGACATCACACAGAAGGACTAATTGACTCATGTAAATTTATGCCTTTCAAATTGAGATGTTAATGGGTTTGGGTACTTCTTATACTCCATTTTTGTTAATAATAAACATTATTTTTTACCATTCAAAAAAAAAAAAAAAGCTTCATAAATCGACACAATTTAAGAAAAATACAAAACTCTTAATAGCTTCCATTAGCCAGGCTTTCAAAACAACTTTTCTATCATAAAAGCTCGAGTTAGGTCCAAGGAGTTTTCCGTACGTAGATGTGCTTATGAATTAACACAGAAGGACACTAGTCTAGTAGATAACCCATTTTTATTATTAGTTTACTCACTCTTACATGTTAAAACTTCACTGATATGTTACCCAAGAAGGATGTATTATGAAACCAGAGGGAAATTGTGATTTAAAGGGCAAAAGATGACAAAAGAAGCAGTTTGAGTTTGACGGCTATATATGCTTTGCATATTATTCGTATTATTTCCCACAGTTTTTAGGGTTAGAATACAATAAATCCAACAATCAAAATCTGGAAGGGCAATTCTCTTTAAAACTTTGTAAACTTAATGCTCCATGTGTTTGTTGTTGTAGTTGAAAACAATTTAATTTGATGAACTCGAGAACTGTTAATTTTAAAAAAGATTAACCTGTCAGGTAAAGGTTGAAGAATTAAACTTAATCCTTTAAAATGAATTTTATTTTTCTTTAATTAAATAAAATATGATATTTGATCAATTAATTATAGACAATTTATTCGATATTATTTTAAATTAATTGGAGAAAAAACATTTAAGCATAATACTTGGGTCTTTCATGGTGAACAATTTGAACAAATTAGATATTCTAATAACTCAAATTAGATTTTGTTTTGAATAATTTATTAGTTAATTGATCTTCATAGACATCAATACTAGTCAAATAAAATACGCTTCATTTCTACTTTTTTGTAACACATATTTTGAAATTGATATTAATAGTAATAATAATAAATAATAATATTAATAACAACAACAACAACAATTAAATAAGACTAACAGACATGTTTATCCAATCATTTGACATATAATAAACCAATATATCCATTATTATTTTTTGTTTCATATATATTAAACCAAAAGAAAAAGAAAGGGATGTGCCTTTTGGTCTTCTCCATATGTGAAAGATAAGTTTACACAAGCATACTAAATGTTTTTAATATTATATATGTTATTATTAAATAGAAAACTAAAACAAAATGCAAAATGGCATACCCTATTTAATGCATAAGGTAGCATTTTGTATATATCAACAAAGTATTTCAAAATAAAAGAAAAGATGTAACATAATTAGAGAAAAAAATTAGTGGTTAAAATCAAATAACTATTGGTATTAAAAAAAAATCTAAACAACTATGTCTTGCAACCAAATTTTGGATTAAAAAAAATCTTTAAAACAAAACAACAATGGAAAAAGGTTTGAAGTTTAAATAATTGATACTTAATGATATCTCGTCCCAAAATTAATACCCTTAAGCTAAGTGTTTGTTGCAGTGTAACTTTAGGTGTCGAATCTAAAGGGAAACCATATTAAATCAATAAAAAGAATTATCACAATGAGAAATTAAATTAAAAGATGAATTCTAAAATTGAGAATAAAAATATTTAAATAAAGAATGATAATTATAAAAGATTGAAAACAATATTATGATGAACACAATATTATGATAAATAAAACTTCAGGGTTCATTTAATTGATTTGTTTAACTGTTATAAATTTTGATTCCTATTTATTACTCAATTGCATATTTTACATCCCAAACAAACAATCGAAAGATTTGACTGTGAAGACCAATAATAATAACTAATGTATTTATTTTGAGAAAAATTAATTTCAATGAAAAACAAATTGATTTATCATTACAAGCAATCTAAGAGCAACAATATATCTAATCGATAATACTGCAGTAAAGAATCAACCTGTAAAATAAATTTACTAATCAATTATATTCTAACAATTTACATATAAAAAGGGTATGACTAATCTTATATAAAATTTAATAAATATAATTTTCAGGATTTTCAAATATGAAAATAATTAATAATTTTTTAAAAATAAAATTAAACAATAAAACCTACAAAAAAATTAAAATAAAATAACAAATCAAACTTTTCAATGAAAATCCTCCCTAACACATAATTTTCTAGTTTCGGAGAAGAAAATAGAAGCCTCTCCAGCCTCCGAAGCCCCTTTCTCCAGAATAATTTGGATGAATATTTATCGATTTTAGAAACCCCTAACTAGAAGAGTTGTGGGTCCGACATCAAAATAATTAGTACAGATATGATTTGTCTGAAAAATCGCGCAAGAGGTCGACACTCTTTACAAGGTGCGGGCACTTTGAGTGGAGCGCCTACTGCATCCCCGTGTCCTCCGCGTCGGTTTTTTGGCCTTTTGTGCAATTTTGATTAATGGAAGAATGACAGTCCTGCTCCCTAACTCCTGGATTCCGCGCAAGTTGATCATCATAGTTCTGATCTTTGCAATTTGCTCCTTGATCAAGAATGGAGAAAATCTCACTTGAGCCTTCAAACTTCCGATTTATCCTTGGATCCTCATCTTTTCAGCTCTTTGCATTTAAGTTCTTTTTTTCTAATTCTTCTCTATTTAACATCAAACCTTCAATCACCATAAAATTTACACAATATGAATAAAATGAACACTTATGAAATTACTTGTAGAAAAATAAAACTTTTAAACTCATAATTCCACAAATGTTAATGATTAAGCATACTTTAAATATATATTTTCATGTTTTAATCACTTAACTCTACATCTTGTTTTTGTTGGATAACTTTTTTTTTCATTTTTCTTCTTTTGGTTGCCTCTTCATCTTCCACATTTATTCATCAATCAATTATTGTTATCGTTTGCATATTGTTCATTTATTTACCTCTTCATCTACCACCTTCATTATCATTTATAATTTTTCCTTTTTTCATTTATAATAATAATATTATTTCATATATTTTTACACATATATTTTGCATATCCTATTGAATGCATAGAATAGTATTTTATACACATAGATATAGATTATCAAGTTCTCTACATGCATCTTGAATCACAAAAGTATCTTTCACTAGGGAAAAACAAGGCGGTTATCGCAGGCAGGGAATTTATTTTCTTCTTGTAACAGCGTAGTAGGTATTCAATACCTGTCCTCGTAATAAAATTTCTAATTTGACTTAGCTGATCAAAATTAAATTTCTAATTTGACTTAGCTGATCAAAAGAAGAAAGCAAAAAATACATAGTAGGTATTCAGTACCTGTCCTCGTAATAAAATTTCTAATTTGACTTAGCTAATCAAAATTAAATTTCTAATTTGACTTAGCTGATCAAAAGAAGAAAAAAAACTATAGTGTATAGGGGTGGGCAAAAACCAATTTTGGTTAAAATCGAAATCGGTTTTAAAATAACTGAATTTTTTTTTTTAATTTTGAGAATTGAAACCGAATCAAAATTTTTACAAATCAAATGGTTCAATTATCAATAAAATCAGTTCGATTTTGATTTTTACTAAATAAATATTAATCAATTATTTTTTTTAATAATAGATTATATTTTATCATATTTTATCGTATTTATCCTAATTTTAGTTTTCAATGGGCTTATTTTTTCTTTTCAATTTTTAAAAAATTCAACCGAAATTGAACCAAAATTATTTGGTTAATATAAAAATCAAAAAAATAAAAATAAAAAACCATTAAAACTAAATCAAATTCATTTTTTCAATTCGGTTTTTAAACGATCGGTTCGATTTCAAATACCCAGCCCTAATAGTGCCTCTCTTCCTTGCAATTTCCGGTCCATTTGACCAGGACCGAAACCGCGTATGCGCAGTACTTCTCACGATCCTAAAATTTTTCAGAGGAAATTAATCAAATTATTACGAATTTCTTTTATCTCTATTTTATGTGAAAATTTTTCATTTTTCTCTTCCTTCTTTTTGTGCCACATTCAAGCAAGAGAAAAGTTATTCTTTTTGGCAGTTGATTCAAAGCCGCAAAGATCAATTGCTACAAAAGCCGGTTAACGGGGGTGTGAGTTTCTAACTTTCCATTACCAAATTAAAGTGTTTAGTTGTCAATTAGGATCAATAAGGTATCCGGCCCGTATCCTTATCTTGAATTCCATTTTTCTTTTCTGTTTTTCTATATACAGGTAATGGCAGATGAAATAACGACCACGGTTTGCACTAGCATAGAGGAGAAGCTGCAAGCACTTACTTCAACATTTTCGGAGCATACCATTTTTAGAGTGCCTCGCCAACTATATGAGGTGAATGAAAAAGCCTATGAACCAGAAATCATCGCAATTGGTCCTTATCATCGTGGCAAAAATCACTTGAAGATGATGGAAGTGCACAAGGTTCGGTTCTTAGGAATGCTTCTAGCCCGAACAAATGGGCATCCTGCCGAACTATTTGTAGCAGCACTGAGAGGTATGGTTGAAAAAGCCCGTAACTGTTATTCAGAATCTTCAAGTGTTAGCACAAAAGACTTCCTAGAAATGTTGGTGCTTGATGGATGCTTTATTGTTGAGTTTATTCACCAATTACTTGATCGTAACATGGATGAGTATGTCTTTAGATTGGAGCCAACTTTTCCCGGGATTTTGCATGATTTGATTCTATTTGAGAACCAACTTCCTTTCTTTGTGCTTTGGGAGCTGTTTGGTATAATGAGGGCATATGAGAGAAAAAATTATGTTCAGCTTCTTCTACGACTCTTCCGTAGCGAGATACCGGGACTAAGAGTTGATGTTGCCTATGACAACACTTCAATTGAAAGTGTCAAGCATTTACTAGACTTGGTACATTGGAATTGGCTTCCTTCAAGAGAAGGAAGGAAGGATGACTCGCGAGCATCAAAAGATGGCAATTGGCCACTGATACGTTCTGCTACAGAGCTTAAAGAGGCTGGAATTCGGTTCAAGAAGGGTAAAGGAAATAGCTTCTTTGACATAATGTTTAGAAATGGGGTACTCGAGATTCCTATGATAAAAGTTACAGATACCACAGAGCGTTTGTATCGCAATGTCATTGTCTGTGAACAATTTGAGAAAGAAATTCCAAAATACTTCACTGAATTTACCTTGTTTATGGATTGCCTGATTAATTCAGGGAAAGATGTGGAGTTACTTTGTCACTGTGGAATAATTGAAAATATGTTAGGCAATGATGAGGCTGTTGCGACCGTGTTTAATAGGATCGGAGATAATGTCATTGTCGGCGTCTCCAGCGAATTCTATGCCCGGTTATGTCATGATGTCAATGAGCATTACAATGCACTTTGGAACAAAAGGATGGCAAGCTTAAGGCACAACTATTTCAACACTCCATGGGCGCTCATCTCCTTTCTTGCTGCAGCTTTCTTGCTTCTGCTTACCCTGCTTCAAACGACATTTACCATTTTTCCTAGACATTAATCTTTGATGTAGAGTTAGTGATAACAAAATTTGTCATTTGTTTAAAAGTTAAGATTGACTTCTACGCAACTTTTATATGTATTATTTATACAAAATCTTAATAATTTCAACTCTTAACTCTAAATGGTTGAATTTTTTATAAATAATATATGTAAAAATTGTGCGTAAGTTAATTCTTACTCTTTATTTAATTTGTATTGTATTTTATCTAGAATATCTAGTAAAGTTGTCAAAATTGAGAATTTATGTAAAATTGTTTTGGTTTAAGTAAAAATTGAATATATAAAATTGAGAATTTACTAAATTAATTAAAATTTTATACATTGTTAAAATTTAACCTCATACATTCAAAATTGAAATTTATCCAAGAATGTTAACTACTAATCAATTATTTCAAATTTTTATTAAACATTTTTCCATTTCATAATCATTTTTTCATTTTTATTAAAAAGCTTTAATTTAATTTATTAAAAAATTAACGAAAAAATATAACCACAATTACTATTATTATACCATAATTGAAAATGAAAAGTTTTATTTCATTTTAATTA